CTTAGCCCTTTCCTTTCAGGGTTGGAATCTGAAAGAGACGTGACTTTCTACCTTATTACCCTGTTCATGCACTCCTGCCTGTGCTGCTTCCATATGGCATTAAGTCATTTTTCTTAGAAAGGTTAAGGCTAGGCGGCTACACCAAAATATCTCCTGTGTGCGACTGAGCGTCTGCTGATGATTCTTGCTGTCAGCATTCAGTCACCGTCTTAGATAACCTGCATGTCTATCTCACATGCCGGGGTGGTTCCTAACTCCTGCCGCTACAAACCAGGCTGGGAATAAGGGGTGGGTCCGCTGTCAGACTCCACCCTTCAGTTTGTTTCCTCTTCACATGAATACATGGACATTCTCTGGGTTCAGATTCTACGATATTAGCTCTGTAGCCAAATGTATAATTAGTGTATTTTACAATGTGTCGGAGGACTGTAGCCCCTATGAGAAAACAGGATGCCACTAACACAGTGTTTCATTAGGATTTTTATCAAATGCTGGAGCCAAAGCGTCACTGTGGCAGCTGCCGGTATGAGGCATGGCGGGGTAAAACTTTGGACCCCTTCCTTCCCTAGATGGTGTCTATAGCTATCTCATATTTCTTAGCAAGGTCCGGTGTTTTCCTGTATTTATATCTTTGGACGTATTACTTTGGTTTGCCTTGTTGTGAGACAGGATCTTCTTATGTTGCCGAGGCTGGCAGTCATTTCTGAGCTTAAGCAACCCTCTGTCTGAGTCCCCAGAGCAGCTGGTGTTAGATGCACGCGTCACATACCTGGCATATATTTTTCCCTCCATAAATTTCCACAACAAGTTAGCTGCTGTTATTCATGGGTGCTCTGCACAGACTTTGAATCTGACACCTGCTGCCGGGTTGTTTCTTAGCTAGTGAGACACAGGTAGGATTTGGGGGTGCTTCGGTCAGGGAAGTCTGCCCAGAATTTCCTGAAACCTGGTAAAGAAAAGGCTGCTTGGGAGAAATACTGAAAATGGTGAGAAATAACAAGGGCATCACCTGCGGGGGAGGGTTGACCACCCACTGAAAGGTGAGTTTGCTTTGAGCATGGAGGAGTGCAGTGGACCCTGAATGCTGCCTGGCTCATGGGAGTTCACTGTCAGTGTGCAGGATGGGGTCACTGGTGTTACTGGAATCTCACATAGAAGTAATAGAGATTTGGGTTGAACCAGCATGAGGGACAGAGCTGAAGGCGGCCCAGTGTGGTGAGACATTATCTGCAGAGAGCAGAGGATGAGGACCTGATCAAATATCAAGGGCATCAGGTTTTTAATATCCTAAGGGTGCTGGGCAGTGTTTCCTGTTCCTGGTGGGAGAAGAGAAGCTACCGGCCCTTCCTACTATCCCCTGCCCTCTGCTCTCACCGGCCCAGGGAGACAGTCTACTGCGGAGTCCCGCGCTGCAGACCCCAGCACAGTCAAACCCATGTTACATAAGAAGGACACACGGGCAGCTCCAAGAGGGTTTTCGGTCAAGATCAACCTATCTCCTAGGAACAAGGTGTTACGGGTTCATGAGAAAGTTGTCATTTTTTTAAATCAGAAGCAAAAGTAAAAGATCTTTTGAAAAATAAAAATATTCACATATATATCATTGATACATTTTTATATCAACATTATATTGCAAAAAGTAATTTTAATATTTGAAAAGAAGTTCTGGCACATGTGTGCATAGCTGCAATGGCCATAATAATTATAATAATCATGATAATACAGTAGAAGTTTCTGCCTATGAATATAAATAACTCCAAGTAGGGTTGTATGTGTCTTCTCTGATTCAACCTATTTTTCTTACAAAACAAAACATGATACACAAATTTATGTATCATCAAATCTTTATAATTCTTGTTATGCCCCATAATATTATATCTTGTAAGATTCGCATAATTTAGTTCTTACCATTTTGGAACTTTCCTGAATTTCTAATTTATTTCCACTCGCATGTTTCCATAATGAGGGTAGCGGACAGATCTTTGATAGATGATAGTGTTCTCTGATCAAAACAAGAGAATTCTGAGAAGTAAAATTATTGGGTTCAAATCTCTCTATAATTTAAATTTTATATATACTATCAAAAACCATCTGAAAACATGATAATTTGAATACTGTCATCATCCATGTGGGAGAGTAATTTTTCCCTCATCTTATATGAAACTACTGAGTTAAAGTGATTTGAAAACTGAACCTACCATGCTGACTAACTTGCATCTCTTATACTGTTAGTATGATGTATTATATTTTATGTCTTATGTTAATATCTTATTTGATGGGCTACCATTTTTCAATTTTTTTTCTTGCTATAGGTTTTTTCACTTTTTAAAGTGTTTTACTTATTTAAGAAAAGAGAAAATTTGACCAAGTATTTTTACAATAATTAATTGGACTTTTGCTTGCGGTACTTCTTTTTTACATATACCATGTTTCTGCTGGAACAGTGTGAGCTTTTAGGTAGCAAAAATGATATTCATCCTTTGCACTTTTGTCCCTTTTGCCACACATCCCTAGTTATAATTTGTAACTAAAACTATGTTAATTCTATTATTAGTAGTATTCTTAAGAATTATTTATTGCCTTTTGAACCTATTTTGGAATAAATGCATGTGTGTTAGCTGAGTTTAATGTATTGCAATAATATACTTTCACTACTAATATGATAATTTACTATTTATGAACTAATTTTCAACATTATGGTACAACATAAATACACGTGTGTGTTTATAGAAAGAGAAAGATTCCATTTTCTTTTCTCTGAGATAGCGATACCATCCTATACCATTCCCAGCCTGTTTAAAGCATTATAATCGCTTAGTTGTTTGTTTTTGTCTAAAGCATCACTTCCTCCTTTTAGATTTTCTACATTTTGGAATATCTCTACAGTAATTTTTGCCATCACCATACAAACCTCTCTCTTCTCATGTTTAATTAGAGTTATGGCAACTTTGATAGAATCTTTTGTGAGTGTTAGAATCTATCAAATAGTTCTCTTGAGGTTTTTATGTTCTTATTAGAATTCTATGGATTTATTAAGTGTTCTGTTACAGGTTTTGTTATCTCTGAGTCTATACTACATATATTTCCCCAAAACGCTTTAGATTACTGATGTCAAAGTAGAAAACATTTGATAATTCTCACCTGGGTAGGTGCTGGTTGGCTCCTGTACTGTTCAGAGAATCATGAGCCCTCTTCAGACGTCTTCCCGGCTTGTGGGTGGACAATCTTACTCTTCGTGGGCTACTAATGCCTGCGTGTTCCCTCACTCATTATTCCTCACTGTTTCACTGTGAATTTATTCCGTGGCCTAGGAGCTCGGGAGCACTGTTAACATTACACTATTATCTTGGTCCCCGTTTTATTGAAAAAGTTCTAGATGCACAGCTTCTTGAGGAATCTTCATCCCAAGTATGTACTAATAATAAAAGACAGAAAATAAGTGAGATAAAAGAAAATGCCCAAACCCCGAGAATTAAAGATTTTATGGCCAGTTCAGTGGAGACTCTCGCCAGTTGTGTGGTTGGTCAACGGAACCGTACAACGAAGCTTCTCAAACATGATAACAATAACCAAAACCTCTGGACACCAAGTTTGGGGGAGCCCTCCTGGCGGAGGGTGGCCCATGCATACTAACACGCATTGCTGTTGGGAAAGTGTCGCACTGTCTGAGATGCCACTGAGAGAAAACGCTCGGGGCTTGTGCTAGGAATTCTCATGGTCCTGCCCGTCTACCTCTTCCTTTGACTGAGATGAACATGCCTTATTTTTCTCACCTATGAATGTAATAAAAAGAACTTCATTCCACAATAGTCAAAGGGACCACATTTTACAAATACCTCGGCTTATAATTTTCTTAACATAAGTTCCACCTGGAGGGCACAGAGGGAGCAGTTGTTTGTGCAATGCATTCTCTGGAATGGGGTAAATTTCCACAGCTGCCCTTCCCCTGCTCTCACTGTGACTCACTGCTTGTCTTGGGGCAAGAATTAAGTTTTGACTTGAGTTTCTGTTTTGTCCTCAAATTCTTTGTTCTCTTCACTGATATTTCTGACCTCGCTGAATATCACTGTTGCAATAGGAAGCATTTAATGATGTGCAATATGTACAGTTATTTTAGTTTTTGATACCAAAAGCCATTAACAAAACTCACTATGAATGAGTTTTGAATCTGCTTCTCTGCTGTTTTTACTCTTTTTAAAAATTTTTACTGCTATGTGCTTGTGATACACAGTATGTACATTCATCCTGGGCAATTGGCAGATGTACCTCTGTACGATACGCATGTCACACCTTCTTCCTCTCTGCTTCCCCTCCCCTCACCTCCTTCCCTTCTCCTCCCATTTTCAGATATTCTTCCCAATGCCGCAAAGTCTATCTCTCTATTTCCTCTCTTATTTCACTCTTTGAATTGATACTTTGGTGTTCTCACATAATAGAACCCATGCAACATTTATGCAGAAGTTAGTATGTTATTCTGGAACAAAATTTGTGTTATTTGTATTTAAATTCTAGGGCTTCAAGGGTCCCAGTTCATCTAAAGATAGATTAAATCTCACGATTGTTTATCCTTTTATTAGGACGCTGTTTTAACCCAGACTGCTGCATGGAAATGTACCACCAAGTGGCTGTCAAACAAAAATAATTTATTTTAGCAATTGTGTAGGCTGAGATCAAGAGAGCATCTGCTTCCTAGTTTATTAGTGACCATCTTGACAGTATGTCTTCACAGAGCACAATTACAAAGTCATCTCTATTGACTATTGTAAGGATACTAATCTCATTCATGAGAAATTCACCATCCTTTCATGACAATTACCTTCTAAAATCAGATTTCCAATATCTCCTCCAGGTATAGGTGTTAATTCTATGATTATGAGGGAGGAATACATAAGTGATGTCATGATATTTGTATGATAACATACATAAATGATGTTGTACTGTGTTGGAAGAGAATCATAAATTGGGCTTTTTCTATAAAGGACATTCTGTTCTCTCTGCAGACTTGTGTCCAACAACTACCAAAATTTCCTGGCCTTCGTTTTCGCCATAGAAGAGATCAACAGGAATCCTCATCTTTTACCCAACATATCTCTGGGATACGAATCCCATAATTTTCTTTACAGTCACTGGAGGATATTGGAGAGTTCTCTCATTTTACTCACAGGACAGTATGAAATCCCAAATTATACCTGTAGAAGAGAGACCAAGTCTGTAGCAGTGCTAACAGGAACCTCATGGGCAACTTCTCCTCAAATTGGACCACTGCTGGAGCTCTACAAGTTCCCACAGGTGAGGGTGGGTGAGACTGGCATAATGAAACCACATCTTTGTTGGTGCCACTTTCCAGGGCCTTTGATGGGTTTGACTAAAAAGACTGGGTTATCTATCTACTGGAACACACAACGTTTAAAGTACATCCCTAGAAACCACTGTGAAGAAACCAAAGTATAGTACAACAACCACTGATAATTTCCTACCATTTTTGTCTGTAACTCACTATTAGTTTTCCTGAGAAACTATCTTGAAGATACCAATAGGTAAAATAACAGCCATTGATATTGTCCTACCACTTTGTCTGTAATTCAGTGAATCCCCCTATTGCTCTGTTGTCCTTCTTTTACTCCTTTAAATAAAAATAAAATAAATAAATAAAATAAAGTAAGTACAGTACACAGACTGGGTGGTTAGGCCACGATTCCACTGTCAACAGCAAAGACTAGGGAGAGAAAAAAAAGCATAGCAGTTTCCTAGCAGTCTATGTCTGCCCAGTTATTTTCTAAAAATAAATAATAAAAAAGATATAATAACTTAGGGATTGAGATGATTAGAAAAATGAAGAACAGGTATCTTCTTTCACCACGTCCTGCTGCTACTTACTAATCTTCAGGTTTGAGTTGTGCTTTATGTCAACACTTCCTTGTATTGCTTCCAATTTTTTTCCTTTTAGGTGACCTTTGGTGCTTTTGATCCTACACTGACTGACAGTGGCCAGTATCCTTCTCTCTATCAGGTGGCCCCAAAGGACACGTATTTGGCCCTTGGCATGGTGTCCTTGATGCTTCATTTCCTCTGGACCTGGGTGGGCCTGCTCATCACAGAAGGCCACAAGGGTCTTCAGTTTCTGTCAGATGTCAGAGCCGAGATGGACAGGAACAGAGTCTGTGTAGCCTTTGTGAAAATGATCTCAACTCCTCTTGTGTCCTACACTTCATTTGCGCAGCAACATGCTATCCTCACCAAGGAAACACCATCAGTAAATGTGGTCATCATTTTCTACGATGCTGATGGTCTAAATGATGTAACCTACATCATAGGGCAACATTTAGTGACGTGGCAAGTCTGGGTGACAAACTCACAGTGGCAGGCAGACATGGCTGGGAGAAATTTTATACTTGGCTCATTCCATGGGACTCTCATTTTTTCCATACATCATGAAGAGATTTCTGGTTTTAAAAATTTCATCCGGGCAGCCAACCCTTCTAAGTACCCAGAAGACACTTACCTCACTATGTACTGGTTCCAGAATTTCCGCTGCTCCTTCTCTGACCCGGACTGTGCGCTGCAGGACTGTGCCCCCAGTGCCTCCCTGGCACGGCTGCCTGTGAACCGTTTTGACCCGGAGATGAGTGACGAGAGCTACAACACGTACAGCGCCGTGTACGCGGTGGCCCACGCCCTCCACGAGATGCTTCTACAGCAAGATCAAGTGCAAGTGATGGGAAATAGGAAAGCAACGGCGCTTTCCTCCTGGCAGGTAATGACTCCTCCTTTGGTTGGCAGGTGCTGTCATCAAGATATCTTTTTAAAGTTCTTTTTAAAGTTATTTGGTTGGCAGGTGCTGTCATCAAGATATCTTTTTAAAGTTATTCCAAGATATCTTTTTAAAGTTCTCTATCTAAGATTAGAGTATTTTCTCCGAAATACACAAGACTATGTACCATATCCATTGTTAAGAAGGCAAATACTGAGCTTAGAAATGGTCGTCAACTAAGGATCCACTGGCAAGGAAGAACGAGACATTCAGCAAGATTTTTGGTTTGGTTCCAAAAAATGACAGTGCCCTGCCCAACTAATATTTTCATTTGAAAAAATCTAAATATTTCTAAGCTTTTCTCATGAAGGATTTAATGGATAGAAGGAAAATTTGTAGTCACTTTTTAAAATCCATACCGTGCTTAACCCTGTAGTGAGTACATTATATGAATTTTCTCATTCAATTTTGCAAACATTTTTGGTATTTATGGCCTTGTTTTGAAAATGGTGGATGTAAGAAGAATCAGAGAGAAAATGTGTGTTGGAAGCAGTGGTGGCAAAGCTGACTTTTGTTTAAAATACATGTAAACTGTCTGGTTAAACAGGCTTGGATGGAACTGAGTGACACTTTAGGAATAGTGTGATATTTTAGTCATCCATACGCTTTTATCTGTTATACTTCATTAGATGTCACTGTTGACATTGCATTATGGAAAAGGAATTAAAGGCAATTAAGTTTTCTATTATATTCACGTCTTCTCCAATAATTATGGAACCTGATTCAACACAGGACTTATCTCTTTTAGCTGCACCCCTTTCTTAAGAACATCCAATTTAACAAACCTGCTAGAGACCAAGTGACTTTGGACGCCGTAAGGAAACTGCAGGCAGAGTATGACATTCTCAACTTCTGGAATCTTCCTGAAGGCCTGCGACTTAAGGTCAAAATAGGAACGTTTTCCCCATGGGCTCCACTTGGCCAACAAATGTCTTTGTCTGAGGATATGATTGAGTGGGCCACAGGAATTGCAGAGGTGTGTGAGACCTACTGGTAATTATGATGCATTTCATTAAGAGATAACCAAAATATTGTTGTAGTTTCTGTGCCCACAGTTTTGCCAGTGAAATGTCCATATCAGAAATTGAACAATTCACATTCTAATTTGGAGCATTTTCTATTCACCAGCTTTCTGATCAATGTGAAAGGAATGCATTAATAAAACCATATTTTTATGAAAATGTATGTTCCATTTTACCAAATAAATATTTTATTCAATTGTATCATTTTATTTATATAGACAAATTAATTTTAGCCCTCAAGTTCTGAAAAAGTAAGTAACTGTTTCATAGTGACTTTTCTCATTACTGAGACAAAATACCCAATGCCAAAAATTAAAAGATGAAAGGCTTATTGTACCTCACAGTTAGTAGAGGTTTCAGTTCGTAGTTGGCTGGCTCCAAGGCAGGGTGATATAGGAGAGGGGCACCACAGAAAAACAGTTCATGGCAGGCAAAAGGCAGCAAGGCAGCAAGCAGCGAGCGGTGACTCTCCTTCTGCCCTTTATATTTTATCCAGGCTACCCACTCTTAGGGCAGGTAGCATTCACACCCAGGGTGGAGCAGCCTTAATCCTAACATCACACCATGAATCAGTCCCTGCATCACATCCTGATCTCAGCATCACACACGCTAGATCCAGCCACCTGGAAGAAGTCCCACCTATGAGTGCATCAGGCCTTGGGGGGACAGCTACATAAAAATCATAATGAAGTCTAAGAACATATCAACATATCTGACTTCCCTCAGACTCCCCACTCGGTGTGCAGTGAGAGCTGCGATCCTGGATTTAGGAAAAGCCCTCAGGAGGGAAAGGCTGCCTGTTGTTTTGATTGCACCCCTTGCCCAGAGAATGAGATCACCAATGCCACAGGTAGGAGCATGTCCTATGGACACATTCTCCTCCTTTATTATATATGCATCTGGGAAATGGGAAAAATCTTGTAGAGAACATAAATAATGAAATCCTTTCTTCCTTTAGTTAGAAATATATTTTATTCAGTACACTTACCCCTTAAAAATATGCTCTGCCATTTGAAATATGATTTGATTCAATTTTCTTTTAACTATCTCTTCCTCTCCTCCTTCTCCTCCTCCTCCTCCTCCTCCTCCTCCCCCTTCTCCTCCTCCTCC